AATCTGAAAGCATACCGACTTGTTTATGGGGTTTCATTTTATGAGTGGCTCATCTGTCACCAGTGAAATATTCTACGTGAGCAATTTTTCATGGCACGTTTTATGTTCTTGCTCCCCAGTTCATCAGTCATTTCAAAGCACCATTAGCCACCTTCTTAAATACTCCTTAATCAGCTCTTCCATCTTCATCTCTGCGATTCACTTCAAGCTCTGTTACAGTCTTCCCGGTCACTTCTCATGTCACAATGTCATCTTAAGATAAGCTGAAGGTAATAATGAGCTGAAACGGATTCTTTTATAAATAAGTAAAACATGGGATGATGAATAGAGTTGGTTCATTGACGTGATGAATGGGCTTAATCACGTTGATAAGAAATGGGTTTCAATGGCCAGATGGATGAATTATGGTGTTTAAAGTAGCCGATCAATGGCGGTGATGGTGAGCGATGGCACGGACACCTGCAGAAGAAGCGACAAGTTCCCACTAAAAACAAAGATGAAGGCAGCTGCGGGGATGACGGCCATGATGAATGTGCTTCAGTATTCCCAGAGCTTTTCCCATTTCTACTGTAACAACTGGCAAGACCGACGTGCCTAAAAATTCAAGATTGAGAAACATTTCCAAAAGATTTTGTTGAGGGGATTTCTTTTCTCTTATAGCACCACCTGCATTTACCAGCACTGAAATCTTATTTGTATTTAGTTTCACATCTTGTCAAAGTCTCAGACTCTCGGTGCAGGATCAGACAGGTCAGAGCAGAGCAGACTAAAGAGGCTATAGAGGAGAAATGAGGGCTTCGGGCAGGTTTAGCAGACTAAATGGTGGTTCTGCTGTCAGATGTTCAATCAGCTTCTGCTCCTGAGATAGACAGGAAAAGACAGAAGGACACGTGCGGCAGACTGAAACACACTGATGAAATATTGAAGAGGATTTAATAAGAAGGTCAAATATGGTCACTTAAATCGCTGAATAAGTCAGGAACTGCACAAAGCTCTGACTCTTATCTTGACTTTTATCTATTATTCACTTTATTTGTGCTGCAGAAGGACAATTAATACAGAGGCTGGGCATATTTAAATAATGTGCGTTATGTTGCTAAAAGATTTATTCAAAGAGCCTCCTGGAAGTCAGACCCAGCGTTTTCTTTGAAAGCTCCTCAGCCAGGAGCTCGTTCTGCACGCTCATCTCCTCGACTCATTCTGCTCAACTCTCTGTAACACTTTCTTTCAACTGTGAGGCGCACTTCCACGTGACACACGTATTGTTGAATATTTAATAGGTAATAAACATCCATCTATACGGTAAGAAATTATTCAAAGCCCTCGATGTAACTGAAAAACCTGCCTGTAAATTATCACTGTAGGTTTTCTTCTACCAGACAACATCTGTGCATCAGGGATATACTGCAACCAGGCTTTGATAGTTACTGCAATACTTTAACAGTTATCCAAATTGTAAATATAATCAGATATTAGGGATGCACC